ACAGAATTCACATTCTTCTCAGGTGCACATGGGACATTCTCAAAGATAAGCCACATGTTAGGACACAAACTAAGTCTCTACAAGTTCAAGAAGATTGAAATCATATCAAGCATCTTCTCAGATCACAATGGCATGAAACTAGAAATCAATTGCAACAAGAACATGCAAAGACATTGGAACAAATTGAGGCTAAATAGCATGTTATTAAACAATGAATTGGTTACCGAGGAGATCAAGGAAGAAATTAAAAACTTCCTGGAAACCAATGAAAATGAACACACAACAATCTATGGGATGCAGCAAAAGCAGTTCTGAGAGGGAAGTTCATAGCACTACAGAACTACCTCAAGAAACAAGAAAAATTTCTAATTGACTATCTAATCTCACAACTTAAAGAACTAGAAAGCAAACAAAAAGAAAACCACAGAGCAAGTAGAAGGAAGGAAATAACAAAGATCAGAGCAGAAATAAATGACATAGAGACCAAAAAAAAACAAACAAACAAAACAATTCAAAGGATCAATGAAACAAAGAGCTGGTTTTTCGAAAAGATAAACAAGATTGATAGACCCTTAGCTAGGCTCACCAAGAAACAAAGAGAGAGAACCCAAATACACAAAATCAGAAATGAAGGAGAAGAAGTAACAACTGACACCACAAAAATACAAAGTATCATTAACAAATACTATGAACAATTATATGGCAACAAATTCGACAATCTAAGTGAAATGGACAAATTTCTAGAACACATAGTCTCCCAAAACTGGACAGGGAAGAGACAGAAAACTTGAATAGACCAATAACCACTAAGGAAATTGAAGAGGTAATCAAGACTCTCCCAGCAAACAAAAGCCCATGCCCAGATGGCTTCATGTGGGAGTTTTACCTAACATTCAAAGAAGAACACCCATTCTCCTCAAACTAGTTCAAAATATTCAAGAAGAAGGAAGACTTCCAAACTCTTTCTATGAGGCCAGCATAATTCTAATTCCAAAACCAGAAAAAGACGCTACAAAGAAAGTAAACTACAGGCCAATATCCCTGATGAACATAGACGCCAAAATCCTGAACAAAATACTAGCAAATCGGATCCAGAAATACATCAAAAAAATTATTCACCATGACCAAGTGAGATTCATCCCAGTGATGCAAGGCTGGTACAATATTCTCAAATCAGTAAATGTGATACACCACATAAACAAAATGAAGAATAAAAGCCACGTGATCATATCAATACGTGCTGAAAAAGCATTCTACAAAATCCAGCACCCATTTCTGATAAAAAGACTCAGCAATGTGGGAATAGAGGGATCATATCTTGACATAGTAAAGGTCATATATGAAATTCCTATAGCCAACATCATACTCAATGGACAAAAACTAAAAGCATTTCCCTTAAGAACAGGAACAAGACAGGGATACCCACTTTCACCACTCATACTTAACATAGTACTAGAAGTCTTAGCCACAGCAATCAGACATGAAGAAAAAAGAAAAGGGATCCAAATTAGAAAGGAGGAAGTGAAACTGTCATTATTTGCCGATGACATGATATTACACATAGAAAACCCTAAAGACTCCATCAAAAATCTACTAGACTTAATAAATGAATTTGGCAAAATAGCAGGATACAAAATCAATATCAAGAAATCAATGGCATTCTTATACACCAATGATGAAGTCACAGAAAGAGAAACTAAAAAACAATCCCATTTACCATCACGGCAAAAAAAATTAAGATACCTACGAATAAACTTAATCAAAGAAGTAAAGGACCTATTTGCAGAAAACTACAGGACATTGAAAAAAGAAATAGAGGATTGAAAAAAGAAATAGAGGAAGATATTAAAAAGTGGAAGCACATACCTTGTTCATGGATTGGAAGAATTAGCATCATTAAAATGTCCATATTACCCAAAGCAATCTATAGATTCAATGCAATCCCCATTAAAATACCAAGGACATATTTCACAGAACTAGAACAAATACTTCAAAAGTTCATATGGAACCAAAAAAGACCCCAATACCCACAGCAATCTTGAGAAAAAAGGGACAAAGTATGTGGGATCACAATACTGGATATCAGGTTATACTACAAAGCTACTGTAATAAAAACATCCTGGTACTGGCACAAGAACAGGCATATAGACCAGTTGAAGAGAACAGAGAACCCAGAAATAGACCCAAGACATTATGCTCAATTAATATTTGACAAAGGTGGCAAGAGCATACAGTAGAGTAAAGACAGCCTCTTTAATAAATGATGTTGGGAAAATTGGACAGCTACATGCAAAAAAATGAAACTAGACCATCAGCTTACACCATACACAAGAATAAACTCAAAATGGATAAAAGACTTAAATGTGACCCATGAATCCATAAAAATCCTAGAAGATAATGTAGGCAACAAAATTTCGGACATCATACACAGCAGAATTTTCACTGCTACATCACCTAAGGCAACAGAAACAAAGGAACAAATGAACACATGGGACTACATCAAACTAAAAAGCTTCTGCACAGCAAAAGATACAATCATCAAAATGGAAAGGCAACCCACTGTATGGGAGAACATAACTGCCAATAATATGTGAGCTAAGGGGTTAATTTCCAAAATGTATAGAGTACACATACAACTCAACAAAAGGAAGACAAGGAACCCAATTAAAAAATGGGCACCTCTCCAAACAGGACATACAAATGGCCAAGAGACATATGAAGAAATGCTCAACATCACTAATCATCAGAGAGATGCAAATTAAAACAACAATGAGATTTTACTTCACGTCTGTCAGAATGGCCGCCATCAACAAATCATCAAACAACAAGTGTTGGCGAGGGTGTGGAGAAAAGGGGACTCTAGTGCACTGCTGGTGGGAATGCAGACTGGTGCAGCCACTATGGAAAACACTATGGTGTTACTTCAAAAAATTAAAAATTGAACTGCCATTTGATCCAGTGATCCCACTTCTAGGAATATACCCTAAGAAGCCTGAAACACCAATCAGAAAGAATATATGTACCCCCATGTTCATAGCAGCACTATTTACAATAGCTAAGATCTGGAAACAGCCCAAGTGTCCATCAGTAGATAAATGGATAGAAAAGCTGTGGTACATATACACAATGGAGTACTATGCAGCTGTAAGAAAGAAAGATCTCTTATCCTTTGAGACAACATGGAGGGACCTGGAAAGTATTATCCTCAGAGAAACAAGCCAAGCAGAGAAAGACAAATATCACATGATCTTACTTTTCTGTGGAATATAATGAACATAACAGTCTGAGGAATACAGTAGACCCAGAAACATGGAAGTAGGGTACAGACTGACAACCCACAGAAGAGGGGATGGTGGGGGGAGGGAAGAGATAAACCACAGAACTTATATGCATGTACACATAACCAATGGACATGGATAAAAAAGCTCGGTATGGGGTGGAGGGGGTGGGGAGGAGGGTGTCAATGGGAAAAAAAAGGAGAAACATCTGTAACAAAAAATAAATTAATAACAAATTTAAAAAAGAGAGAGAGATTATGGTGATTATGCTAGGGAAACACAATGGTTCAGCCACTATAGGTGTCAGACAGTTGCTCAGAAAGTTAAACATATACTTATCTATGATCCAGCAATTCTGCTCCCAGGTATTTGCCCACATGAAATAAAAATGTTTTCACACAAAAGCCTGACCACGTTCCTCTAATTCCTCCTCCCCTCACCCTCTGCTTCTCATAACCATGAGTCTTCTTTCTTTCTTTTTTCTTCTTAGATTCTGCTGGTCAAAGGGTTAGCAATGTCCAGTTATGACCCAGGAGATAAATCGGCCCTGGGGATGAAATGCACAGCACGGTGACCATAGCTCACTGCCACATGACAGAGGGAAGTGGCTGAGTAAGTCCTAAGGGCTCCCATCACAGGGAGGAATTTTTTCCTGTTCTTCTTTCTTTTCTTTTTTTATTGTATCTATATGAGAAGATGGATGTCAGCTGATCCGACAGTGTGGTGACCATTTCACAATACACGTAAATCAAAGTATCCTATGGTATGCCTCAAACGTACACAGTAATGGGTGTGCATTATTTCTCAGTAGGACTGAAAAAAATAGATGAAGTTTAGGCACATGAGAGGAGCCGGACACGCAGGCTGCCTGTTGTCCGATTCTGTGGATTTGCCATTTTGGAAAAGGCAGAACTATAGCGACCGCAAGTAGACGGGAGTGACCGGGGGCTGGGTATGGGGGACAATTTGACCACCAAGGGGCATAGGGGGGTTTGGGGGGTTGATGGAACTGTTCTCTGTCTTAGTTCTCTGCTTAAATGACTGTAGGCTAAACGTTTTAAAAGATAAATTTTATTCTGTATAAGTCATACCTCGATAAAACAAAACTCAACATGAAGGAAAAAAAACCCAACACTGAAGGGTAAAAAGTGGGTTCATTCAGATTGAACTCATGTGTTTGAGAGCAGAACACGGTCTCGGGGAGCTGGGCCCAGTGCCGGCAGCTTGGGGGCCTACGCGAGAGCTCTGCTAGGCTGCCCCCTCGGGGGCCCACGTGCCCGCCGCGCGTGCCCGGGAACAAACAGAGCGACCCGGCGCCGGGCACCAGGCTTAGGCGCAGGCTCAGGACGCTGGGCGAGAGCCTACAAGAGGCGAGGCTGACCTGTGCGTTGTCCCGCGTCTGAAGTCACTGGGTGTCTGTGCGGTCCTGGAAGGCTCTGGGGGTATAAATGCAAGGGGTTTGCTGGGGGTGGGAGGCAGAGAGAGGCGGGTCCCGCGTGAAGGGGGACAAACGCTGCTTTTGCAGGCGAGGGTTTCTACAGAGTGGCCAGCTGCCTGCTTTCAGGATCCATCTGCAAAGCTGCTCCTTCTCCGAGGAGTTCCTCCGTTCGTGCGTTCCCGCCGTTTTCCTGGAATTCCACCTTAAAACCAGCGCGCCGGGGCCAGGGACGCGGGAGGCTCTGGTCCCGATGACGGGCTGCACTTGGAGGCTGAGCCCACACATCTGGAAGCCACATGTCAGCCGCAGCCGCATAAAGCGGTCCGCCCAGCAGGCCCGGGACATTCTCCCCCGAAGCCAGGCAGCATGAGCCTCAGCCTTCTGTGGGTGCTTCTGCCCCTGGCCGCCGTGGCCTGGGGCCAGTATGGTGACTACGGCTACCCGTACCAACAGTACCACGACTACAGTGACGACGGGTGGGTGAACCTGAACCGGCAGGGCTTCAGCTACCAGTGTCCCCACGGACAGGTGGTGGTGGCCGTGAGGAGCATCTTCAGCAAGAAGGAAGGCTCCGACAGACAGTGGAACTACGCCTGCATGCCCACGTCCCACAGCCTGGGGGAGCCCACCGAGTGCTGGTGGGAGGAAATCAACAGGGCTGGCATGGAATGGTAAGGGGGCGCAGGGGTGCAGGGGGTGCCCGCTGCACTGGGGTAAGGGACAGTCCATGCACTTGGTCTGGGCTGTCACAGCGTGTCCCTCCCCCTGGGGGCCGCTTCACCCTCAGGGAACTGCACCCACTAAGCCTGTGCAAATGGTACCAGGAACCTCGTCGTGGGAGCGGAGGGTGGGGCAGGGCTGAGCCGGCTGTGACCACAGGACACAGTCCCAGGCCAGGCATGTCTGAGGCAGGTGGTCGCCTCTGAGGCTGTGTGACTTCCCGTGGCAGCCGGACCTCAGCTTGGGCCAGGGACCCGTGTGGGTCTGTGAAGTGTTCACCAGGCGCAAATGATGGGGACGGAGGTGGAAAGTATTTCAGAAGCTGTAGCGATTTAACAGGTTGTGACCTCCAAAACTACGTTTGTGTTGGGGTCATTTGCTCGTACTGTTTCACAAAAGCATTGGCCCACCGCAGTGGGGGGGATAGACCGCTGGACCCTCACCGAGGCCGGCCCAGAGCCGGGGGGAGGGGACCTGCCGTGGAGGTAGAGAAGCGACATCGAGCAGCCAGGTCACTCACGGCTCCGTCCCTGGGGGGAGGCCTCTCCCCCCCACGACGCGAACAGGTTCACGGGCTTTCGGGAAGTGATGGTCTCACCTGCCTGGCCTCTGCCAGTCAGCAGCGTGGACATGGTCCCAGCCCCGTGCTCCGCAGCCATCCTGAGCGTGAGGCCGGGTCTCGGCAGCCTGGATGGAGGCAGAACCTCCAGGTGGAGGCGGGCGGGGAGGAGGTGGGGCGGATCCTGCCCAGGGAAGAGGAGGCCCGGCCAATGTGCTCACGGGGGGCAGTGGGTTTGGGGTGGTCAAGCATAATACCCTGGGGGTCACCCACCAGCAGATGAAACTGTGATGGGCCATCAAGGGGGAAAGACACTCGATGGGGGGAGGAGCCAGGCAAGAGAGGGGACCTCTGAGTCATAAACACAGCTGTCACTGCCTGAGCCGACCCTGAGGGGCACCAGGCTGGGTGCTTTCTGTGTATTATCTCCCTCAATGCTCAGAACAAGTGAGTCACTTTGTGGGTGGATGGACTGGAGTCCAGAGAGCAGGGGCTTCCTCAGCTGGAAAGTGAGTCTTAACACCAAAGCGTTGGTGCTTGACCACAGCGGTGGGCCCCTGAGCGCCTGCTGCCTCTGCCCACAGCCAGGGGCGCAGGACGGGACAGGCCACAGCACAGGACAGGGCACAGGACGGGATCAGGGCACAGGACAGGACAGGGCACAGGACAGGACAAGGCACAGGACGGGATCAGGGCACAGGATGGGATCAGGGCACAGGACGGGACAGGGCACAGGACAGGACAGGGCACAGGACAGGACAAGGCACAGGACGGGATCAGGGCACAGGATGGGATCGGGCACAGGACGGGACAGGGCACAGGACAGGACAGGGCACAGGACAGGATCAGGGCACAGGACAGGACTCAGGGTACAGGACGGGACAGGGCACAGGACAGGATCAGGGCACAGGACGGGACAGGCCACAGGACAGGACAGGCCGCAGGACAGGATCAGGGCACAGGACAGGACAGGCCACAGGACAGGATCAGGGCACAGGATAGGACAGGCCACAGGACAGGACAGGGCACAGGATAGGACAGGCCACAGGACAGGACAGGCCGCAGGACAGGATCAGGGCACAGGACAGGACAGGCCACAGGACAGGATAAGGGCACAGGATAGGACAGGCCACAGGACAGGACAGGGCACAGGACAGGACAAGGCACAGGACGGGATCAGGGCACAGGATGGGATCAGGGCACAGGACGGGACAGGGCACAGGACAGGACAGGGCACAGGACAGGATCAGGGCACAGGACAGGACTCAGGGTACAGGACGGGACAGGGCACAGGACAGGATCAGGGCACAGGACAGGACAGGCCACAGGACAGGACAGGGCACAGGACGGGACAGGGCACAGGACAGGATCAGGGCACAGGACAGGACAGGCCACAGGACAGGACAGGGCACAGGACAGGACAGGCCACAGGACAGGATCAGGGCACAGGACAGGATCAGGGCACAGGACAGGACAGGCCACAGGACAGGACAGGGTACAGGACGGGACAGGGCACAGGACAGGATCAGGGCACAGGACAGGACAGGCCACAGGACAGGACAGGGCACAGGACAGGACAGGCCACAGGACAGGATCAGGGCACAGGACAGGATCAGGGCACAGGACAGGATCAGGGCACAGGACAGGACAGGGCACAGGACAGGACAGGCCACAGGACAGGACAGGCCACAGGACAGGACTCAGGGCACAGGACAGGATCAGGGCACAGGACAGGACAGGGCACAGGACAGGACAGGCCACAGGACAGGACAGGCCACAGGACAGGACTCAGGGCACAGGACAGGATCAGGGCACAGGACAGGACAGGCCACAGGACAGGATCAGGGCACAGGACAGGACAGGACTCAGGGCAGTATTCATCCTGGGGACAACCGGGCTCTTCGACGTCACAGCCAAGCCCAGCTCTGGAGGGTTGGGGACCAGCTTGGTGGCCATGGCTGAGGAGGGGCTCAGCCAGCTGGGAAGGGTGGGGAGAGGGTCACCCAGGCAGTGGGTCACACAGGGTCACTTCCTGCTGTGAACAGACATAAACCCCCTCTGACAGCTGCCTGGCTCGGAGACCAGCCTGGCCTCCGTGGCTGGCGGTCCCAGGAAGCAGGCCCGTCACCGGGCATGGAGCCTGGGGATGCCTTAGTTCACGGTCCCTCTGGTCTCCCCATCTAGGAGGTCTCCTACCAGCGGGCCCTTCCCCCATGGCCCTCCTCACAGCCACAGTAAAGCAGGGTTCAGGGATGTCCCTCGGCCCCCGAGGAAGAGCCCTGGGCTCTGAGTCTGAAGACAATGCGCCTTGTGAGCTCGGTCTGGGGTTCGGCGCCCTCCGCTCCCGGCTCCAGCCTGCGTGGCTTGGAGGGCGCCCTCCGCTGCCCCGCGCTGCGCTGGGCCCTGAACATGCCCTTGCATTCTCCCTGCCTCTTGTTCCTGTTGTTGATCTTTCTGTTTAGAGAAGACAAATGATAGTTACTTTTAAGCTTGACGATTGTGACGGTTTGTCACGAACTCCCAAATGGCCCGAAGAAAGGCAACCCAGAAAGGGAGTGGGAATCATTTGACTCAGCCAAGCGAGATGCAGCCAGACAAGACCTCCCTCCACTCCGCTCCTCCGCAGGGCTGAGTTTCCAAGTTCAAGGATCCTCTCTCCTCCCCTCCACTAACCACAGAGCCCAAAGGCACCAACATGGGAAATACTTCACCATAGGATTCAGCTGCCCCAGGACCGAAAACAACGACCCCAGAGGCTTTTTTTTTTAGGGTAATTACTGCTTTGAGTTTCGACTCCAGTCTCAGAGAAAAGTCTGGAAGGGAAGAAATTGCTCATTGGCTGGGAAGCAATTACATTGTCCCGTCCAGGCTCCTAATCTGTTCTGGGGGAAAGAGTGGCTGGTTTTGTGCAATTTGGCCGCCTTGCATAACCGAATGCGCCTGCAGGGTGTATGTTAAGACGGGGAGGAGTCTCGAACTCCTGCCAGAAAAGTTCAAGTGCACTTCCAGGGCCAAGCAGAGCACAGGGCGCGGGAGGCGCAGCGCTTGCTGGGATCACGCCGTCTGACCGTCACTCTCCGAGACTGACACGACGTGTGGGGTTTGCTACAGACACGCGCAAGCTGGACCCTGGGCTCCAGCTCCCGGCACGGCTGAGGCTGGGACCCTGCCGGGCGACACGCTGCTCTGTTGCCACCAGATCGTGAAGTGTGCAAGCTGTCTCGGTCCAGCGGCGGCCAGGAGGCTGGACCTGGGTCCCACGCGTGGCATTCTGCCGTCCCAGGGCGTGCCGTGGCTGGCGGGTGTTCTCTGGGAACCTTCTCCACCTTGCGAGGCACAGGCTGTGAGGCAGGCGGGTCTGCCTGGGGCAAGATGAGGCTGAGTTTTCCAGAGAGGTTCGCTCTGGTCTTGGGATCGGGACACCTGGCTTCACAGGCTTCTCCCCTCTCCTGGCTCGTGGCCGTGGGCACCTGGTTCCTCATGCCAGAGAATGGAAGAGGCGGGACACCCATTCCGAAGCCGTCGGTGGCTATAGCTGGGGCGCCCCCAGGAGAAAGAGCAGGAGAACTCTAAAGCAAATCTAAATCTAAACTGAATGCTGTGAAGAGATTAATAATAATAATAATAACAACCTCCTAGACGCAGACAACGGCAGGGGGATTACAGAGGGAAGGGGGTGGGCGAGGTAGAAGAGGTGAAGGGGCGATAGGTAAATGGTGATGGAGGAAGACGTGACTTGGGATCGCGAACATACAATGCAATATACAGATGGTGTATTCCAGCATTGCACACCTGAAACCCACATGATTTTATTAACCAGTGTCACCCCAATAAAAAATGTCAATAAAAACTTTTTAACAAGAGAGTTCAATGTCCCTAGAATTCCAAGGCTGAAACCAATCGCAATGAGTGAAGTAGAAGCAACCAACAGGTGTCTGCTCCGAGAGACCTGGTAAATCGTGAGATCAGACGTCGGTCAAATGCCAGGCCCCTCGCGCTGGCAAAGGCAGGTTTGGTGAATCTGGACTCGACGAGGCTGACTTGGGGTGAACCCGCTTTGCAGGGCTTCGGAAGACCCACGGGAGTGAGCGTCCGGGGGATCTGAAGCCACTCAGTTTCCGCAGTCTGACTCTCAGCGAGGCCAAGGCGAGGTGTCGACAGCGATCCACCCTGACTCGGTTCCGCACACAGGTGCCCTCCAGACCACCTCCTCTCAGCCAACGCCCCCACCACGCCCCAACCGGCCGGTATTTCCTGCAGCGCCCTGGTCATTTCCTGATTGCTGTTTGCACATCATCTGTCTCCTTCAGAACAGGCGCCTCGCCCTGGCCAGTGTGGCTCAGCGCCAGCCTGCAGACCAGAGGCGCAGGTTGGATTCCAGTCAGGGGCATG